AAAAAAAAAAAAAAAAAGAAGAAGAAGAACTAAGAACAAATAAATTTGTTGTTTTTACCAAAAAAATTATAGCTTCTAAAATTTGCGAACCGTTTTGGACGCTGTCTGTCCACATTTGCAGCAGGTTTAACATTAAGAGATATTGAGATAGCATTTTTAAAGCATATCCAGATGTTGAGAAACTTATCTCTTTTTTCACTTAAACCTCTTCTTTAAACAGGTTAAATCATTTACAACAGCTTTTAGGCTGTCAATATTCTGCCTATAATTGATAAAAATAAGGTAATGTTTCCTTCTCACCTATCCTTCAGCTGTGCTGCAAAGAAAAGCTCTAAAATCTTGTGCATTTTTAAAATGAGTTTCAAAATCCGACAGCAATTACGCTGATAAATGTTTGTGGAATTCAGTAAAATTGTAAACAAATTTGGAGTGCAATTTTGCCTGCAAAACCAAAAAAAAGGTTATTTTTAACTTGTCCTGTTGTCGCATATAAGTTAAACACCGTTTGCAGGTTTTAATTCATCTTCGGGGTTTCTCTTATCAGAGTAGCAACAACAAAAAAAAAAAAGCCCAAAGATCTGGATTTTTCGGGCATAGAACATTTTTTTTTAGTCACAGTATTGTCTCCTGACTACAGTCTATATTAAAAAAAGCAGCTTAGATCGGTACTCATATGTTCTTAGATGTTAGCGGACAACCTCGGTTGATTAAATTTGTTACATTAAAGCAGGCGGCGTAAAAAGAAGAAAAAAAAAGATGGAAAAAGAAAATTACAACATATACAATGGTTTACAATAAAACAATAAAAAAAACAATTGTGTTTTTATAATGTATGGTCATCGTTTCTTTTCAAGCAAAAATACGTAATAAATATATTTGCAATTTTTCAGAATTGACCGGTTTTTCCATTCGCTTTTTATGGTTAAGGGTATGTTTATTTTTCAACAACGTTTATTGTACACGTCGTTTTCCTTTATCCTTCCCTCTTCCCCTTTCCCTTTTTAAATATTAAAACATTTCTGTTATCAAAAACAATTTTTTCTTTTTTTTTTACTTCTTTTCTTACTCAACCAGTTAGACTGTAATTGATTTTATTTCTTTCTTCATTTTTAACTTATTTTATAGTTAAGACCGTTGCTATTACCGTTCCTTAACTTATACATTTTTAAAATTTCCTGACACCACTTTGGGCAGTGGTATAGAGCAAAAAATATTGCAACAAAAAAAAGTAAATGAAAAAAACCCTGTAAACGGTAGGAAACAAACGTTTTATGCAATTGTGACTGGAAGAACAAGTAAATTTTTTGTTTATTGAAAACCGTATTTGTAAGAAATGTGACGAACTCAAAATGAGCACATTAACGTTTTTAAGACCACTTATAAAGTTACGATTTTCGGCAAAGAAATTGGTCGGCTGATGGGAAAACAAGTGTTGTCTTTTTCACTAATAATAATTCAAAGCAGCAAATAATTGTTGTTTAATTAAACAAAACATTGTTGTTCTGAGTCATTCTGTTTTTTTTCTCATTCCTTTTTGCGGTACATAATAGTGGAACACCCGCAAAGCATAAATGAATTCCCTAAACTATACATCATTTATACGGTCATCTTATTAACAATTGACAATTAAGAAACAAAAAAGAGAAAAAAAAGGGGAAAAAACCGGACTGTATAAATAATAATAAACTAAAA